AAAAAAACGTCTTGGATGATGCACAGATCTATCAAAGGGCACTTTCATAAATGTAACTAACAGAAACAAAATTATTTATATTTATGCACACAATAAGGTAGGATATTGTGGAAAAAACTGATTCATCACAGAACTTTAAATTTCTTAGCACCAATAAAAAGAAATGACTTACTCTGCACCCTGCATTTGATCTTCGATTTCAACTGTTCCAAATTTTTTATAAAGCTCAAACAAGTAGTTATCACCATAGTTACCAGCACCACGACCATCAATACTAGCCACAATAACATTATATTGACTAGCCAAATATGCTGGCCAACCTAGCTGAAATGTTTCCTGTACCTTTTGACTTCCTGGTCCACCATAGCTGCAAACAATTTTACCAGTACAATGCCGGTATTACTTTATAAATTAACATACTCATCAATGTTTACAATTATACCAGTACAATACCGGTATTACTTTATAAATTAACATACTCAGCAATGTTTACAATTATACCAGTACAATACCGGTATTACTTTATAAATTAACATACTCATCAATGTTTACAAGTCTTATTTCAGTTATTGTTATTCAATTAATACTCAGTACCAGCAATTAGGTCAGTGATAGATTTGATTTCTTACATAAATGTAACAAGTAATGAGTTGTATTACTTACACATCTACCAGTAAGGCATGTTTCCGTGCATTATCCATATTAGCTGGCAACGTCAACTGAGCATTCATTATGTATCCTTCAATTGGAATCTCTAAGTATTTCTTGGTAGGAACAGCTTTTCTTTTCAGCTTGTTTGCAACCTTGGCATTGCTCTCAAGCATGTACATAATAGACAGGTCTAATGCACTGTATAGTATGGATTGAGGAAGACCAGCGCCCTCACAGTTCAACACAAACCAATTAGTATTTTGACTGAAAGTGGCATCGGCAAAGGTACATTCTGTGGTGGTCACATTACAACTCATACATACTGGCTGTGCTGTGTCCTTGTTAGTTCCAACACTTTAAAAGAAACACACTGACAATTTAGTATATATTGTCAAAATTTAACTGATTTTCACACTGGGTACTTGACTTCAGTTAAATTTTGTTTCAAATATGTTTTCTTGCAATAGTATAGTGAATGTGTCAAGACATGATAGTTAGATGACTGGTGTACTTACTACCATAGATGTCAATAGTGAATGTGTCAAGACATGATAGTTAGATGACTGGTGTACTTACTACCATACATGTCAATAGTGAATGTGTCAAGACATGATAGTTAGATGACTGGTGTACTTACTACCATAGATGTCAATAGTGAAT